TATATTACAAATGGTTGACTAGCAGCTTCAGTGCAAAGATTACCAGTAACTAAAACCAAAACCTTGCTTCTTCAAGCTGGGCTGTCCAGTTTTTGAAATGCTGTAAGGTGAAGTTTAACCATATAAGTTAGGACACAAATAGGTCAGTCAGCTGTGATGGTCATAATTCAAAACTACAGCTTTATGAGCGCTTGTCAGAGTAAGCCATACCTGACAGATGCAATAAAACCAAAACCTGTTGAAAACGCTTGCAGCATCTAAATTCAGCATGCGGCCTGTCAGGTGCACTGTATGCATGTGCACATGTGTTTTTGTTTGTTTGTGTGTGGTTCCCAGGAAGATAGTTCACAGGACTCAACTTCAGCTTTTCAGCTTTAGTGCAGGGTTGCAGACAGCTGTGCCACAAACACATGGCTGTAGATCACCGCAAGGGCCTCCTATTTAGGTCACATTCTGTGCTTCAGCAACCAACAGAAGGGATCTGTGTTTAATGCAATGAATACCTTTTATTTGGACTCTGCAAGAACTCTGCCAGAAGTGTGTGTCCTAGTGATGTGCTGTGTGTGTCTGTATTGCAGGTGGGGGTGGAATGTGATCACTATGCTTTCCATTTTTTGCTTTCACAATGAATGAGTAGCCTAAAATATTAGCTGAGTTCTCTCCCCTGAGAGATTTAATCCTCTGCTCTGGTATTGACAATGAACTTGTGAACCATTTCCCATTTTTTTCAATTAATCCAGCACCCGGCTTATAGTTAAAAAAAAAAAAAAGAATAAATGCAACTCGCTTTTTATTCATGCGCAAATAGATTTTGAGTTTGACCTTTACTCTGTCCTCTAATTGTTAAAAACAAAGTTGACATGCTGACTTGTTTTCTCCTTCTTGCACTCTATTTTATTATTTCTTTATCTCCCACTTTTGCTTCGGTGCTGTATAATAAATTCTGGTAACGAGTTGTACACTAAGGCTCAACCACATTGTTGTCACAGTGTTATGCTGTGCTCTTATTTTTGTCTTATCTTCACCTTCAGCCCTTTGAAAACAGTGTGGGTCCTGCAGCTAACCAGCCTCAGCCTCAGATGATTAAGGGAAGCAGTTTAAGGGCGCTGATGGATGCAGTTGCTTTTGTGACACTATGTAAGAGAAGGTCATTTATTCCAGCTGCCTTTACTCCAGCTATGTGCCATGTTTACTGGTCAGGTATTTTCCTTCCAGAAAAACTAAAGATATCGACTGGATTGCACAATCAAGCTGCCATTGTTTATTGCCTTTTTTGCAGGATAGGATATACATGTGTGCACACTGAGCTGGTGTACATTAAGTCTACATCCCATCCCCAGTTTCTTATTATATTTTTGAGCTATGGGATGCCATGTTTTGTAATACCTTTGAACAAATATAGCTCGCTCTTTGTTTCTCTGTGCTCAATCCCCTGTCACTTTTGTATTGAATTCTTCCAGACTAAATACTAAAATGTACAAGGAAGCTTGAGGACAAATATGCTTGTCAGGGGCATCGTAGCGTGTGTAATTTATATTTAGGGATTACTCTTTTAAAGTTTTGAAAGATAAAAATAAAAGACAAAAAACAGAAGCAAAAGTTTAGGACTTTGTCCAGATTTCTCATCCGTGAAAAGTGTCAAAATGAATCTTTTTCAGCCTGAAACAAAATACATTGTAATGCATTTTAGGTGTGCAATTGTATGCTATTAATAATATATATTTTTTTCTGTTTCTCTTCCTGTTTGTCTGTTTTTTTTGGTCATGGCTGTGTGTTTTCTTGTAGAGCTAGATTGGGGTCCGTTCCAGACTTTCAGCTGCAACAGTTGGATGTGAGTTGACCTGCCGACAATGACCATGAAAGGCTTATCCAGCAGCCGCAGTCACCAACCTGTGACTTGTGACCCCTCGTATGACTCCATGACTCTGGGACACTCGGATCGTCGGTCCTACTTTCTCAATCAGGGAGAGACTCATCCAGCTGACCACCCCTGCTACCCCCAACGGAATGCCTTTCAGACTGAGTGCAGTGCCTATCCTGATCTGACTAGCTGCACCTTCCCTCGGAGACATTACAGCTCTCATCACGAGCTGAAGGAAGAGTGTGGTGCTGTGGTGCCTTACACTGGGCCAGCAGGGAGCTGTAAGGGAAGTGGAGGAAACAACAACAATCGCATACCATCCAACTTGCTGGAACAGTTTGAGACCCAAACACCTTTGCGACGTGACGGCTATCACACACTGCAGTACAAGCATACTGCAGTGGAGCACCAACGCAGTGACAGCCCTGGTCGAATCCGTCACCTTGTTCATTCTGTGCAGAAGCTTTTCACCAAGTCCCACTCTCTGGAGGGGCCCTCTGGGTCTGGAGGAGGAGGGAGTGGGAAGATGAATGGTAACAAATCAAGTACTGATGATCCTCCTTCATGCTCTGGTACCCTAAAGCACAGCAAGCGCAGTAAGAGCAAAGACCGGTCCAAGTCAGAACCTAAAATGCGCACTGCCATATCAGGATACTGGAGCTCAGACGACATGCTTGACCGAGAGGTGTGCCTCTACCATCAACAACAGGGGGGTAGCAGTGGAACTTTGCCCTCGGGGGTCATGACCATTGGGCGGCACCCAGACAAGTCCCAATCGCAATACTTCATGGAGTCATACAACACTATTAGCGCCCAGTCACTCAAGACATCACGCAGCAACAACGATGTGAAGTGCTCAACATGCTCCGGTGGAAGCAGTACAGCTTTGCCACTGATGGGTCCACTTGATGGGCAAGTTCAGCTTAAGAAGAGCTCATGGTCCTCTACTCTAACAGTGAGCAGAGCAAGGGAGGTCTACCAAAAGGCTTCTGTCAACCTTGATAAAGCTCTTGTCAAAGCTGAACAGGGACGCACTTGCCATTTCTTACAGGTAGGACCATTGCAACAGCCCCACCTCTTGCATGTCGTATCCAAGTCAACAGCTGCTTCTTGCATCCATTCATATTGCCCGTTTTTGACTTGAATATGCCTTTATTTGTGCATGTACAGTAAACAGACAGATCAAACCTGCGATGCCCCATAATCCATACTGACGTTCCCTTGATCATTAGTCTTGTGTTGATTTTTTTTCTTTTGTATGATCATTATCTTAGAATCATTCCAGTACATCTGCTCTTTTGTGTCCATGTGCATTGAATTGTTAATATAAAAGGGTATGTTTATGTCATGACATCTGGACTATGCGGTACGTCAAAAGTCACAGAAGGATAAAGTATTTACAATTTACCGGTACTGTATCAGAAAAAATTATTCAGTAAGCTTCTATTGTGTAATGCAGCAAGTTCAAAGGGCATCTTACAGTCTTTATGTTTACTGTATAACATACAGGAAAGAAGATTTAAAACACAAATCTAATATTTGTTAAAATGGCACGCTGTCACATTGAACTACATCTGCCCAGCTGTCAAGACTGGGTGATCATTGTAGCCGCAGCATGACTGATTGTGTGTACATCTTGGTCACAGACAGTCAGTTTGGTGCCATTAGGAAATCAGTGAGTTCAGTTGACATAAACTAGAAAACAAATGCTCCATTTCCTAAACCCTGTGGTCACACACATTCCAACAACAGAGCCACATGCATTGTGACATGTCAGCATATTGAGTCACGCATCCTTTTTTATTGTTTTATTTTGGTAAAAAAAAAAAAAGATTTTCCTCTTACATGGTTCTTCAGATTGGGAAGAGGTAAAAGTATAAGACTGGAGACAGAAAGATAAGGCAATGATAACAGTGAGGCATATCGCTTATGCCTGTGAGTGCTCACACTGTAGACAAAAAGGGAGCAAAGCTTTAAATACAAGCATGAGTTCAAAAGAACAAGAATAGGATTTCAAAATGCCAAGAAAATGTTTGCTTGGTTGTGAATTTTAACAACATGGAAATCTAAGTGAGCAAGCCATAGAAAGACTTGTCAGTGTGATCTTACACTTCTTCCAAGCAAAGAGCTATAGTATCTTTCATTTTCTATAGTTTACTGTACAAAGCCTTAAAGGAATTATATTTATTTTGACCCTAATATAAACTTTGTCCTTACCAAGGACAAAGACCAAACAAGGTCTGTGGTTGCCATTGACAATAAGGTCAGCTTGGTTTCCTAGCTAAGCAGCAGTCCATTGAAACATTTTCTCTTGCACTTTTCCACCCCTCTGTATCTCATTTCTTTCCCTTTAGATTCGGTGCCCTAATAGCCACTCACATTGAGACTGCAGTGGTTCTGCTGAACAAAACCCCCTTTGTTTTTCCCCCTCTCTCCAAGTCTGCTGTTTTTGACTCCCTCTCTCTTTTAGATTAGGGCTCGGAGATGACTTTGCCTTCTTTTATTTTTACCTTCATTAGAAAGTGTGAAAAGCAGGAGAGCAGACACAGACCAAGTTATTGCGATATTTTGTCAGAACGCTTAATTCCTCCAGATTTGATATGCAGCACATTTCACAGGACAGACAAAAGAAGGTCATCATTGTCAGGCTAATGGTACGATCAAGTCCTTGCATTGATGTCATAACTATTGTTGCTGAATATTTTTATGTAATATTTATGCACAGATTTGCACAAAGTTTATCATGGCCTTGTTGTATTCATACTTGTTCCTGTTGAAGCTCCCAAGAGTAAAAAGTAATAAGTGTTCATTCCCTTTGAAATCAACCTCACCTCTTCTCTACAGGTGCCTCAAGACGATTGGAGTGGTTTCTCTCCATTGGGGAAGGATGACGAGATCCCGTGCCGGCGAATGCGCAGCGGTAGCTACATCAAGGCAATGGCAGAGGAAGACAGTGGCGACTCAGACTGCAGTCCTAAACCCTCGCCCAAGGTGCAAGCACGACGAGCCAGCTACCTGAAGGCCACGCAGCCATCTCTCACAGAGATGACTACTCTCAAGTGAGTGTGTGTTGAAAGTGAAGCCTCCCTGTTTTCAGTTGTTCACTCGGTTTTCAAGGTTTTATTTCCACTTGAAGAAGTGACGTTTTGGAATTTTGTAGTTAGTTACATGAGTAGTTTTTGTGCATCTGCCATCTATCTAGTCATTTTATTCAGTAAAACTGTGTTTCTATTATGTGCCTGTAGGCCTGTATGCATGTGTATTTGAATGCCTCTGAACAAAATGTTTAGTTGTGATAAAAACTTCAAACAAACAGAACAGTCAAAAACACGTAATGCAAAAGTAAAATTAAGGAGAAAAATAAGATGGAAGTAGTCAGTGTTACTCACCTACTGTATATGGTTTATTGTTACAGTTTACTTTACTCATTCACTACAAACTCACACACAGTTTTGTCTTTTTAGTTCCTCTGTACTTCTTCTTCTTCTTCTTCTCCTTTTGGCTGTTCCCTCTTCAGGAGTCGCCACAGCGAGTCATTTTCTTCCATCTCACTCTGTCCTCTGCATCTTCTGTTCTCACTCCATCTCCATGTCCTCTCTGATTCCATATATCTCCTCGTTGACCTTCTTCTTTGTCTTTTTCGTGGTAGATGCATTTCTAGCAATCTTCTACCAATATACCCACTGTTCCGCCTCTTCCTTTTCTCCTGTATTTTTGTCAGTATCACTGTCTTCAAACCATACAGTGTAGCTGGTCTGGTTTTGTAAATGTTTCCTTTGATATTTGCTGTCACCTTTTTGTCGCAAATCACTCCTGAAACTTTTTCCATCTACTCCATCCTGTCTGGACTTTTTTTCACCTCTTTAGCACATTCCCCATTTTCCTGAACAGTGGACCCCAAGTACTTGAAGTCCTGCACCTTTGTGACCTCTGCTGCTTGTAGCCTCACTCTTCCACCAGCCTCCCTCTCATTCACACGTGTACTCTGTCTTACTATGGCTGACTTTCATTCCTCTTCTTTCAAGTGCATACCTCCACCTCTCCAAGTTATCTTCTGCCTGTTCCCTGTTCTCACCACAGATCACAATGTCATCTGCAAACATCATAGTCCATGGGGATTCCTGCCTGACCTCATCTGTTAGTCGGTCCATCACCAGAACAAACAAGAAGGAGTTCAAAGGCAATCCTTGATGCATTCCCACCTTCACCATGAAGCTATCTGTCATTCCTACAGTATATCTCACCACTGTCCTGCTGTCCTCATACATGTCCTGCACCTATCTAACATATATCTTTGCCACACCAGATTTCCTCATGAACTATCATACCTCCTCCCTCAGCACCCTGTCATATGCATTTTTTAATCCACAAAGATGCAATGGAGTTGTTTCTGACCCTCTCTGTACTTCCCCATCAACATTCTCAAAGCAAAGATGGCATCTGTGGTGCTCTTTCTTGGCATGAAACCATACTGCAGCTCACAAATAGTCACCTCTCGTCTAAGTCTAGCTTCCACAACTCTCTCCCAGATCTTCATTGTGTGTCTCATCAACTTATTTCCCCTGTACTTGCTACAACTCTACATCACCCTTGTTCTTAAAAATGTGCACCAGCACACTTCTTCTCCATTCCTAAGGCATTTTCTCACCTTCAAATATGCCATTGAATATTTGAGTCAAAAACCTCACTGTCTCACTCCTAGACATTTCCAAATCTCCACTGGTATGTCACTGGTTTCTTTCCTTGACACCAAACCCACCCATCCCTTCCTCATCCCCTCTGTTTCCATCACCAACATGTCCATTCAGGTCTGCTTCGATCACCACTCTCTCCTCACTGGGAATACTCTCTATCACTTCATCCACTTTCTTTCAAAATTTATCTTTCTCCTCTACATTGCATTCAACCTGTGGAGCATAACCACTGACAACATTTAGCATCAGATATTCTACTTCTACCTTGACACATCACACTATCTGACACTCTTTTCATCTCTACTACATCCTTTGCTAACGTCTCCTTCAGGTTTACCCCTTCTCCATTTCTCTTTCTATCAACACCATGGTAAAACAGTTTAAACCCTAATCCAACGCTGCAAGCTCCTCTTGGACACATAAAACATCTACCTTCCTTCTCTGCATCATGTCAGCCACCTCTCTACCTTTTCCTGTAATTGTCCCTACATTTAGAGTTGCAACTCTGTCATACATTCTTGACTTTCCTCTTCTCCCTCTATCTCCTGACACACCTCTCTCCTCGTGAGCTTTGACTAACAGTAGCACAATTTCCGCCGGCACGCTGTTTGTCAACTGCACTGGTGGCGGTCGGTGTTAACCTGGGTCTCGACCGATCCTGTATGGTGTCGCTTTGATGAACTCACATATTAGTTTTGGCAAAAGTGTTTTACGTTGGAAGCCTGTCCTGACACAACCTAACCATTTACCTGGGCTTGGAACTGGCACAAGAGGTACCCTGGCTTGTGCTCCCTAGTGACTGGTGTTTTTTTTTTTGTTTGTTTTTTTTTAGTTGCTCTGCACATCTTCCATTATATAACACAATGAACAGAAACTAAAATCCCTTTTTAAGTTTTCATTTTCTTCTGAGATTTTTTAAGTTGAGAATGTTGTCCGACTTGTTTGAAGGAGATGTTTGTGAAAGAAGTGAGACATTTTTGAAACATTTTGATTAGGCTGTTTTTTTTGTTGTGTGCTATTCGGTCTCACAGCTTGAATTTTTTTAAATTCACAAATCCCCACTTCTGCCTTTGATTAGAAGCTGACTTCACCTCACATTTTGATTTCTTCATGAATAAGGGGAAATTTGGAAGTGGCTGTTGAGAAAACAAATAGTCTAGCAGTAAAAGTATTTACAAAGTAGTAGCTACATCCACAGATTTCATCTCTTTAAAGCAGTTTAACAGTCTGTTTCATCAGTAACATTATGACTGAGGTACTCAGCACTTTAATCTCTTTGAAATTTGTTTTAGCTTAAAAATAAATATTAGCTTCAGTCCATATTAGTGTTTTTGCATTTGGAAAATCCAATGCACTGACTAAGAGCTGTGAAGCTACAGTGGAAAGAAAACAATTTGCTTTTACACAAAATCTGGTATTGTAACACTTACCTGCATGGCTGTGTTGAGGTGCAACACTTTTTAAGGTTTTTAAACTAACTTAGGTTTAAATAAATAGAAAATAAATTGTGACATTTTCATTGTGTATTAAGTTCAACTGCCAACTCGTCAGAGTAGTGTCCAAAACAGCAACAGAAAAATCTTTATAAATTCATTTCAAAATGTTATAAATAGAATTCAAGGAAATTTTGACCCAGTTCTTCAACACAGTGGAAACATGGCAGAATATACCTGTGTTAAGACGAGGAGAGAAAGCTTTTATATGATCACAGTGAATATAAGAGACCGTTTTTGTCAGAGCAGAAGGGTTGTATCACTGAAATGGACAGTTTGACCTGGCGCCAGAATGTGATCAGATATACTCTAAATGACATCTAAAACTCTCATCATCAAGTGTTAATTATCCTCCACAACTTAAACAGGCATGAACTGCTGAGTTAGAAAGTTTTGCGTACAAACAGAAATTAAAATACATGATGTGCACCCTAAATTAAAATAGAGACTGATCATGAGCTGACTGAAAATGATGGAATAATCTGAAATGTACTGTCTCCTGGTCTTTATAGAGCATTAAAGCATTTATCAGGTACTTTGGTATGTCTACAGTTTATGCTGTGAAATTAGAGTGGAAAAGGATTTATACTCGTGGGGAAATAAAAGTTGCTTTTGTTGTAATGCTGTTAACATTTGCAGGATGACAGATATCAGTTACTCACAAGGCTGCGCCATCTGCTATTTCTAAAGCAGTAAAAAATGTCCTATACTATGCATCGTTCACTTGTTCTAATTGGAGACACTTTACATTATAATTCGCACAAATGGTGAAAAAAATAAAAATAAATAAATGGACGAACATAATTCGGAGATGAGAAGAGCACAAGCGTATGCCCAGCCATTGTGACTGTTGGCACAAGCACAAACGCACAGTCTTATATAAGAACATGCGGCACAGCTTGGGGCCCACTAATGACTTTAGTGAGGCCCGGGAAATGCCATCATCATTTGATAGAACCCAGTGAAACAAACCAAACTGCAGTGCTGCACATTGGAGATAGAGATGAGTCGGGTGCTGCTGACAACTTGTTTTCATGCTGTTTTTGAGGACTCAAGTCGGTTGCGTCACACAATGACTAAATAATCAGTTTTCTTGTTACATATATTTCAGAGTGACCGTTTTGTCCTTGTCTAGTCTGGAATTGATTCTGAAATGTTATGTGGTTTGTTTACTCTCATCCAATAGAACACACAATAGTATTTTATTAAAGTAATTCTCCTTATCAAACACATGATACACAAACACCAAGTGTTTGAATTGCTTAGACAGTTTCTTGCACAATACAAAGGAAAGCACAGACAATGGAGGATTTTTTTTGTTGTTGTTGTTGTTGCCACAATTTAATTTACCCCCTACCTGCAGTACATTTCATCATGTTTGTCTTCTGTCACACTAAGAAGACATAACCTTCCTTTCCTCCTACGACACTACATTATGATTTTACAATAAAGTGAGGTGTGTTGAAAGAGACAATGAGACGAAAAGTAGAAGCGAAAAGAAATGAAACTAGAACAGATGAAAATTATGATTTGAAAGAAGATGGCTGAAAGCAAGAAAATGCTGTGGATACAAAGTGACAGCTTTGAAACCTTATATTTTAAAGATAGTATCTCACTGGGCTGTGACTGTTGGGGACTAGCTGAAGACAGAAATACAAGGAAACATGCACATTTTTACTTGCAATCACACCAAAAGACATGTTGGTGGAAGTAAAATTTGTTAAAATATGTGGTGAAATAAGATGTAGGTACATTCCAGTAATGAATTTAATCTCTCTGTGTATCAGCTGCACTCATACATGAGATTTAAGTGATTGATGTGAATAATTCACAGCAATCTCCGAGCTTTAGAATTAGCAGATTGACCAATTCTGCTCATTTATAAAGTTACTTAAACCAGTGGTAGTATAGTAGGGCCATGTATAGAAAAATAAAGTCAGTCTACAAGTTAAAAAATAATAAAATTGTTTTTTTATCGCATTTGCTGGCTCTAAAGGTGAGGTATTCCAATTTTCGTGCTAAATACTTGTCTGCAATGAATTCCCAAGCCTGAAACTTATTAAAATAAAATGCAAACATGTCAAGGTCAAGTAGAATGTGTTACTGAAAATAACAAATGTCCAGAGATAGAAACAGAGAAATGTTTTGTGTATATGCTTCCTCGAGTTTGTGCTGACACAGTAAATGGATACATGAACAAAAGTTTAGATTCTTGGAAATCCATAGACAGTTTAGGCATAATTACTTTTCAGTAAATCCAGTTGGTAATAGTTTTTAATTAAAAATAATAATGTGTTTGTTTGTTTTTTTAAATAAAGCGCTAAAACCAATAGATTCCTAAACTATGTCATATTTTCTGGGCCAAAGCTGATTTACAATGGACAGTGTTAAAAAGGAAAACTGTTCAAGTCAATTCAGTTTGTTTATATAGCACCAAATCACAACAGAAGTTGTTTCAGGGCACTGAACAGAAACATTCATATACCGTACATATAAAGTCAGTTAATAACGTTATTTATCCAAGGAGCCAACAGATTGCTTTTTGTCAGGTCAATTGAAATTTGATATTATTTTTAGGAACCATAGATGCCACGCCCTTTGAAAGGAGAGGGACTATCTAGCCTGTTATCAGCACACAGTTCAAAAGCATGCCTCTCTGATGGTATGGGGGTGCATTAGTAGTGAAGGAGTAGTCTGGAAAGGAAACATCAGTGCAGAAGAGAATGCATAGGCTTTAGCAACATTTACATCCATTCAGACATCTTTTTCAGGGAAGATCTTGCATATTTCAGCAAGACGATGCTAAATCTGCATACTGTGTCTGTTACAACATCAAATATTTGTAGTAGAAGAGTCAAAGTGCTGAACTGACCTGCCTGCAGTCCCAAACATTCACCAATTTCAAACATTTATTTCATCTGTAGTATGACATATCCTGAGATATATTCATACATTAAACGGGTTCACTCATCTTTCTGGACTGTGTGATGTTCGTGCGTTGAATTCAACAGAAATGTGGACGTGAGACGTTAATTATCTTTGACTCACCAAGCGAGTGGGTCATTTATTAACAGAATCAAGTTTAACACATCACACATTTACATTAATTTGGCAGAATATGAAAACAACAACATAATCAGCTTTACAACCAGGAAACCATACGGCCATGGTTTTCCGTTGCTTCACCACAGACATTAATGAAAACATCTGGATTAATTTTCTAGCAGAAAGGAGAGTTTAAAGATGGAAAATTGAGATTTATCTTACAGAGAGATGTGTGAGGGAATTTATCTGTTTTAACCAGAACGTGCACGCTCCTTCGGAACTCAGCTTGTCCCAAACAGTACACTTTTGGTGAAGGTCGACTTTTACCTTTTCTGAAGATAGATCAGTTCCGGCGTGGAGTCTCACTTCCAACCACTGTTCAGCGTCTCAGTGAGAACAGCCAAATACCTAGAGAGCCGTGCGAGGTTATCCAAACAGAAGTTATAATTCCCAAAATCGTCTCTGGTTCAGCTTGTTTGGTTTAGCAGCATCCATGAATGCCTGCGTTTGCATTCACGGACTCCCAAACTCTCTGCATTCTGGATTCCAAAACTCTTGAACTCCTCTGGAACTCTTCTTCTCTCTACTGTTGAACTGGGAAGTTGCCACATTTAAAATGGGCTCTACTTCCGGTTCATTTGAGAGCTTTTGATTGGTGGATGGACCAAAGCAGAGGTGTGGTTTGTGATGTAAGGTGTTATGGAAAGTCAAGGATAGAGATTAAGATTGTTTAAGAACAGACAGAAAGATTGTTGGAGAAAACCAGTCTTAGTGGCGTCTCTACTCAGTATCTTGCTGTAAAAGTTAAACATGACATTTCTTTTCAGTAAACTTCTTAGTTGACCGAAGCTTGAACTTTAACACACTTACAACTTTGCTCACTTTCAAAGCAGACGATCAAGAAATTGAATCATTACTCTGTAATGTACTCTAACTTGATTTCTCTTTGAATTGAGGAATAAAAATCATTACTACTGTTTAAGTAAATAAAAATGAGTAGTTCACTTCAACATGTAAACATTGTTTGAACTAACACAATTTGATTATCAAAACATTTGTAAAATAGTAATGATCATAGAGAATTGTCTTTTCCACTTGATTAATTCAAGAAAGAAAGTCTCAGGATGGGTCTAAACTGTATTTCTGGATTCAAATCAATGAAATGACAGTTTCTGACCATATGATCCTAAGGTCATTGATTTGACATCAGGTCAAGTTCACTACACATCCTAAAACAAACAAAAAAAATCAGCAAAGAAGACCATTTAACTGCTAAAATCCTTCATAAGACAAGAATAGGACAATATTTCTGTCTAAAATAGGGGATTTATAAATCGTTAAATTCAGTTTAGTTTTTGGCTGTTTTTACACAATGTCCAATTGTTCTGGAATTGGGGTTGTTTGTATTAAAAGCACATCTACTATTAATACATCCTAATGTAAAAGTTAATATAGCAAAGAATGAACTGATGAACACACTCAGTTGATATATAAGTATGAGAATTAATAACTGTCAATTTAAAACCCTTATTTAGATCTTAATAGCATGTCCCTCCGGTTCACCTTTGTCTTCCAATGTTCCATCCAGGAATGACTACCAGTACTCTGGTTTGCTTTGCTGTGGCAACCGAGCTCTATTTTAAGGAGGATATGCATAATTAAAGAGATCTGACCTAGAGGCAAAGAGCAGGAGCTGCACATCACAGCTCCGTGTGATGTTCCTAGATCTTTGTGTATGAAAACAAGAGACCAAATTATTAGAAAATTGCACATTTGGCTCTTACAGTTCATTTAAGAATCCTGTTTTAGCATTGTATTGAGTTTCTTCATTTCATTTTGTTTTCTGTAAGATGGCAGTATTACCGTATTTTCCGCCGTACATGTCGCACCGCCGTATAAGTCACATCAATCCAAAAATGTCTAATGAAGTAGAAAAAAACATAAATAAGTCACTTTGCTGTATAAGTCGCATCTATTATACATCGCTGTTGACGCGTCACATTTGTTATGCATCATCACTGACCACCCGGAAACGTTGGCCGGTGTAGTGCCAAAAATCGATTGGATGTCAAATGGCAGCTTCAGGAGCGTGCGCGGGAGGACTTTAACAAGAATTTATTAAGATTAACACTTAAAAACAATTATTTGTTTGCTCGACATTATAGCAAAGGTGTGTCTCAGTTTAACTATTCTTTAATAAATGCACTTTAATGGTCAAGTCGGCTGCATTTCAAAAATCGATTTGCGGCTGCTGGAGCACGCAGACGGAGGACTTGCTGTGCATTTCTTCGAAATTTACCAAGATAACTACCTAAAAACAATTACTTGTTTGCTCGAAATTATAGTAAAGGCGTGTCTCAGTTGAACTTTTCCTTAATAAATGCACTTTAATGGTCAAATCAGCTGCATTTTGTGCATCACAAAAATAAAATCCACTATTACCTATTAATGAGAAATTTGGCTTGACATATTGCTCGCGGGCCCTCTAGTGGCTGAAAATGGTACTGTTCAATATTTTCCATGTCAGAATGAATGAAATTGTCAGAGCTCAGCTAAAAATTGGGTTATAAATATGGGGAAAAAAACATATTAGCCACTTTGTTGCATAAATTCGCAGTACTTGCAAATTTATGCAAAAAAATTGTGACGTATACGGCGAAAAATACGGTAGCTACCATATTCATCCAGATGAAAACAAGGCAGATTTAGTTTAATTAACCCCGATTAATAAATTTCACCCAGTTGCCGTGTAACCTAAACTGGCACAATCCCTCACACTTATTCAAACATGTGCGTGCACATACAGTTGGTGTGAAGCATGCTGAGAAATCAGGTAGGGGCTAATGAGACCGCTGTTTATCTTCTGTGGAGACAGGTAATGTGTCTAGACCTTTCTTTGAGTTTCTTTTACAAAATTATGTAAATTAAGATCAATCTACAGGCACACTTACTCTAGCTTCTTCTTCCTGACAGGAATGCTAGTGTTCCCAAAGTTAAGCATTTTAGAAAGTGCCTACAAGGATAGACTGAAGCTACTGGAAGTGTTTTTCTGTAGCTTGTTGATTAGAAAAGAGCAGTTGTATATCAGTCTGTATATCTGGGTAATGTGATAATGTACATTGTAAACATTTGCTTTATGTCTGTACGTCTCCAACTATTTTAATCCTTTTTTTTTTTCACCGTTTTAATTTATTTTTCCCTTTTTTTTCTATCCATCCTCTTTCTTTTTTTCTTGTGGCAGAATTTCCACAGAGCACTCACCCAAGCTGCAGATCCGAAGTCACAGCTACTTGCGGGCGGTGAGCGAAGTTTCCATCAATAGGAGCCTGGACAGCTTGGACCCGGCAGGGCTGCTGGCCTCACCTAAATTTCGCTCCCGAAACGAGAGCTACATGAGAGCTATGAGCACCATCAGCCAGGTTAGTGGGTATCTAGGGGCCCATAGCTCTCTGTTATCGGCCTCCAAACTAAAGAGCTATGTTTGTTGAGGCGAAGAAGTGAGAAGAAAATCATATTTGTAGCTCAAATCAACAATCGGGTCACCATTCTACAGAGACAGAAAAGGATGTGAACCCCCTAGTCTCCTAATTAGTGTATATGTTTGTTTGCTGTATTCTGGAGCTCAGATATGTTGATGTTCAAATTGGCTAATTAAACCAAGAGCACATACAAAATCCCTCCAGTCTCCCACTTTACCTTGGCTTGCTCTTTCCATTTCAACATCCATTCATCTTTCTTTACCTGTTGTCTCCTTTTTGGGTTGCAGGGGGCTCTCTCTCAAGTGGTCATTGTGCAAGTGTCAGGGTTCACCCTGGACCAGTCGCTACAGGGCAATTTTGTTACCCTGTTGCGACTGCCTTTTTTGGTTATTTTGTTTTGCAAATACTAAAGCTTTTTGTGTTCTTTTCAATTTGACACAAGAAAACTAGTCTAATTAAATGTAACTTTCCATTTATTTCTAAAAGGTAGCATGGTAGAAGCCTCTTATTGTTCTGGTTGCTGTGACATGTGCTTAACGTTTGGGATTTCCATTACTGCTTCATGCTCTGCCATGTTTGGAGTGACAGAGAAGCTTAACGTTCCTTTTTGCCTGGGGTAGTTTAGGTGTGTACTCCCATCCAAACCCCGGAGGCAACATTTTGCTTCACCATCTGAGTGATGGACCCTTGAGACCTCGCTTCAAGTTCTGTCAGAGACCAGGTCTAACAGGAGAATGTCACAGAGGACCAGCATTTATTTAAATAAAGAAGAGGAATATGTGTTGCTGGTCTTTAAATCCCTCCCACTTTTTAACAGACTAACTTTTCTGACTTTGGCCTCTACAGTTTCACACCCGCACTTGTTTGACTGTACAGTCTACATCCACAAAAACCCTAATGAAATGAGCTTTAGTCCCATTCCTTTTTATTTTTTTATTTTTTTTGCTCCATTTAAATTCTTTAAGTACTAGAATTCAGCTTCATACTGTCTACACTCTCAAGCCACTCAGCTCACAAATCTCTAGCAAGTTATCAAAAGTTTTTCTTTTATTTAGACCGCTTTATTTCCAACCAAAACTGCAGAAGATAATGGTGCTGTTTGATATGCTTGGGATAAAACTAATCCCAGCAGTTCTGGTTTTTGCACTTTCTATTCTCACCTGTAATAACAAGATTTAAAGAATATCCTCATTTTCTGACTCTTTGAAGTTATATCGTAAAATTTCCCACTCATTGGTACCCTTTGGATACTGACTTGCTTCCTTATTTATTCACAAAATATGTATTGTTACATTTTAACTCGTTAGTGATGAATCAAGTGTTTTTTTTAACCATATATACTCTGTAAAGTCTCAACCATTTAGAAAAAAATGAATAATAAATAAAAAATTCTTAGAAGCCAAAAAAAGAAAGAAAGCAAAAGAGGAAGTTCTTCAAATTATTTCCCAGCTATGTGGTATTTTTCTTTTTTAATAATTTGCAATTGCTTTTGCTAATCAGTAAAATATCTGAAATTACAATGTCTGTAATATGTATTTTTGTTATATTTATCATATTTGTTTTTTTTATCATTATTTATGTTTGCCTTAGGAAGGAAAATGCAAATATGTCTAAATTAATTATAAGTAGCTTTTAAAAAGAAAGGATTGACCAAAGGGCTCTTTAAGCAAAGAAGCAGATGTGAAACCAAACACATTAAAAACTGATGAGTTATTATGATAATTTACTCGTTACCATATTTTTCTGACAATAAGGCGCACTTAAAATTCTTTAATTTTCTCAAAAATCAACAGTGAGCCTTATAATTTGGTGCACTTTATGTATTAATTCTGGTTGTGCTTACTGACCTCAAACCGATTTTATGTGGTATACGTCGTTCAAAAATCTGTCAAAATGTTTTAGTTTTGCTTAATGCGCCTTATGCATGAAAACAGACCCGTTTATTGATATTGCGGCTTTAAATTTGGTGTGCCTTAGTTTAAAGCTGTTGGATCATAGAATGGGTTGGTTTGAACAAACATTGGGTCAAAAAGTTTGTGGTCGGGTCAGAGATGAGAAGTGTCATTTTTCATAGTTGTCTATTTAAGCCAGATTTGAACTAAAGGGAACCAGACTACCTCTGCTTTAGGATGTGATAAGCAAAATAAAGGTTGAAAAAACAAATTATAAGAAGCTATTTAACCAGGTTGCCTTTGTTTACAACTTTAGTTTACGTTAGACCAGGGGTCTGCAACCTTTACAATCAAAGGAGCCATTTCTGCCCCTTCGTTCACTAAATTAAACGTCCTGAGACGCAAAACCTGCTACAATTGTCATTTTCAACTGGTGGCCCTTGGGCCACTTTAAATTTGTTAGAGGGAACTTTTCTGGCCAGTAGGCGTGAAATTATAAAAAATAAAAACATCCAATGATTGTTAAAATGTATTGATATTTTTTACATTTTGTGACAAAAAAAGACTAGATTCCACCCATCCATTCATTTATCCATCCATTATCTTTACTCGCTTCTTCCTTATCGAGTTGCAGGGGATCAGTGGTGCATATATATATATATATATATATATATATATATATATATATATATCACAGAAAACTGGATTCTTGTAAAGAAAAAATAGATATTATTTTGTCTATTAAAAAAAACTAAAATAATGAACTGTGCATGCTTATGTGTTTTTGTTTGTTTTTTTTTATTCTGGAGAAATTGACTACTTTGAAGAAATAAAGCATAAAATTAAAGGGAGTATAATTTACTCTGTGTCTTAGTACTATTATCCACATATTTGTGATGGAAATGACTGGAAAACTGGTAAAACTATTTTTTTGTTGTGGGTTTAACATCCTATAAAATTCAGAACTCAAAGCTTGAAAGAGCCGCTCCGGAGGGACCAAAGAGCCGCAAGTGGCTCCAGAGCCGTGGGTTGCAGACCCCTGCGTTAGACCGTTGGTTTTCATTCTTAAAACGGCATTAGTTTATGTAGCTGATACTAATAGCAGTTAGCGCCAGCTAGCTAGCACCAAGCCATCCTACCATCCATTAAGTTTACCCACTTCTTCCTTTTCGGGTCGCGGGGGTCACTGGTTACCCATGTCCAACCATTACTGTGCGAGAGGTGGGGGACACCCTGGACCAAGTTGTAATTATCGAATAAGTCAGATTTTAGTTTGTTCTTTTTTACTCAACTTATTAGTAGCACTAATTGTGCAAATTAGTAATTAACCCCCAATTTTGGGGGTAAAAAAAACTCAACCTAGTCTGCTGAGTTAAAACTACAAAGAGTTAGCTCAGTCCAAATTTAAGCCGGCAGTAAGCATGCAAGAAAGCCAAATGATAAAAACAAGATTAAGATAATAAAAAGTAATTAAATATGAAAAGTATTCAAATATGAATAAAAACTATATTTTAAAACATGTCAATTATGAGAACAGTGAAAAACTTCCTGCTGTACCCACACAATAATGTTTTATTTAGAATGTATTTTCCCATCTTTTGCTCCAGTTGTATATTCATTTGTTCTATATTGCACTTATTCAGTTTTTGTACAGTATATACACGTTGTATGTCTAAACTTATTTGTTTTTGTACAGGATCTGGACAGTTCATCTCCTGGATGTTTGATTCTTGCAGGTGAGCGAGGTGGAGGTGAATGGGCAGATTGAGGCAGTGTGTGAGTCGGTGTTCAGTGAGATGGAGTCCCAGGCCGTGGATGCCCTGGACCTGCCCGTGCCCAGCTGCTTCCGCATGCGGAGCCACAGCTACGTGCGCGCCATAGAGAAAGGCTGCTCTCAGGAAGAGGAGGAGAGTGGCGTCACAGCGATCAACAGAAGGAGCAACTCTCCCCCTCGCACTGCCACCACCGTCCGAACCATCCAAAGCAGTACAGGTTGGTGGGAACATGCTAAATCCAAGAGTGTGCATTAACTTGCACATTTTATTTCCCTTTATAAATTGGTCTTTTGTGCTATAAACAGTTTTGAACACTTACTCTTACACACACTCACACTTACTTTTGTACTATCCACCTGACCCAGTTTTTTCCTTTATTAGCTGAATCCCAAAGCTTTTCCTCCCCACACAGAGAGCTTATCTGAGCTGACTGAATCTTATTTCAGCCCGCTCATGGTCCGGAGAGCTCAACTTTCCAACATGACTGCATGCAGCATTGAGGATGAGTGCTGCTGGCATCCAGCGCTGAGTGCCTTCATGTTTTTACACTGCAGAGTCCGAGCGTCGTTCCGTTATCTTGCGCGTGTTGTGTCACAGTCATCGTCCTCCTTCCACTTCAATCGCCAATTAGGCGACATCATTTCCCCCCAAAACCTAGCTGACAATATAAGGAAGTTTATTAAACATATTCATTGCACGTTTAATCTTTTTTTTTTTTTTTTTTTTTACACTGAGAAACATTTATTCAGTGATTAATTTGGTTTAAGATGAATTCTTTCATGGGTTAAGTTTCTTACAGTGGCACAATGTAAATGAAAAATAATCAAAGTTTCTTTATTTGACATACGCATCACATGTGGTACATGTGGTGGAACGAAATTGCGTACACAGGGTCCCAGTTACATCCAACAAAAATATAAATTGTAAATAAAAGCAGTAATAAGATCTAAGATATGAAATGAGATAAACATAAACTAAAAATGCACGAAGCACTAGTAGTATAAAAGCAATACGCCGAACAGCAACACGAACATGAGTCTGTGTGAGCAGATGAGTACAAATGAACACAGCAACATGAAATAAATCAGCAGCATGAGATCAGCAGCATGGATAATCAGCAGCACATATCAACAGTTAAGTGGGATTATAGTGATTTTTCACAGTGATTATCCTGATTAGGGATTCATGAGTCTTATAGCTTCAGGGTAGAAGCTGTTCCTTAGTCTAGTGGTTCTACACTTAATGCTCCTCAATTTCCTTACTGAGGGGAGCGGAGCAAAATGTATGTGTGCTGGGTGAGTGGGGTCCTTCATGATGCAGATGGCCGTCTTCCTGCATCTAGAGGTGTAGATGTCTGTGACGTGGGGAGGCTGACTCCAACAGACTTCTGTGCAGCCTTTTCTTTCTGCAGCCTCCATGCCACACGTTGATGCTGGAGCACAGGATGCTCTCCACTGCACACCTGTAGAAGGAGGTGAGGACGGAGCTTCCCAGTCCAGCTCGCCTCAGCCGCCTGAGGAAGTAGAGTCTCTGATGAGCTTTCTTGATCAGGCTGATACTGTTAACTTAATTAAAAGATATTGCTAAAGGCTGCTTGTTATTGTGAAAATCCAACAGTCTCCCACTGCCCTTGATGCCCATCTGATTTAGATCATAGCGGTGCCAAAACACAAAGGTTTTCATTGCGGTGACAACAAAACAGAAAGAGAGCAGTCTGGAAAATGTGTGTTTATCTCAGCGCCATTGGCATCGTATAATTCAACAATAATTTTGCACTTGCGTGGCTTTTCTAACATTATGCAGCCCCACTTCACAGCTTTCCAGATTGCTGTTGTTCCCCATATCAGGAGAGAGCCGTGTGCCGGCGATCGCACATACAAACCCAGAGAATTTTCTGCGTTTCACAGGAAATCGTCTAGGGGCCCCGAAGTGAGAAGTGAAGATGTTGTTGTGGTAAATACTGCATGAGGTTTCTGAAGGCTGTTTTCAAGCACCAGTTACAGGAAAAAGAAGAAGAAAAAAGTCCCACATTGATGTCTTCTGCTCACATTTGTCCCTGTGGCAAACTGCCAAAATATCACACATTCACACCCACAGAGCCATGAGAAACCTATCAGCTTCCGTTCACGCTCCTCTCACTGCTGCGCCGCTCCTGCCCTTTATTACTGATGATCTTTTTAATTCCAAAGACGGAGACCACAGTTCTTTGATCTCTCCTCTTTGAACGTCAAGCGGCTGCTGTTGGCTGCCCGCTCAAACTGGCACACCCTCTTGCGCTCACAGTCGTTCGCACGTGCGTCACCGTGGCCCCGGACGGGCACGTTTGGCTGAGACGTCGGCTCCATCGGATCGGTTTAACAAAATCTGCAGCAGATCCTCTTTGTAAAGCTTGGGAAAATCCATAGTAATCAGTTAACGGGAAGACTTTGCTGCCGCTAAGCTGCGCCTCCTCCGCCACACATCATCTTCATTTAACGTATTAATCACCTTTTCACCCTTTTGACGTCTTAGCATCCGCTTTTCCGCAACAGTTTGGTTGATTTTGATTGAGAGAGCTCACAAACAGTTACTAAGTCTGGACAATTTGTCTTATTTTTCTAATTTCCCATCGCTTACTGAGCTGCTGGTAATAAAACAGCCCAATTTTTCATGCATCTTTCCCTCACAAGTGCTAATAGAATGGCTGAAAAGTGTGTCTTTCCTCCACCTCATCTCCATTAAAGGGCCGTGTTTAATTTATCGGCTGTGATTTTTTTTTTCCCCCCCCCAGCTCCAAGAGGCGTTCTGCTGAGTAAAGCAGTGCTTAGGGCTTAGACATGTGAGGCGTGCTCGTGCTTCAAATTGCTGATGGACTTGTCCAAAACTCAGTGGAATACAGCCTCTTCGTTTAGTTTGTTCAATCAGGTCTGGGCACGTTTTATCTGTTTGTATAGCGTTACAAGTTTAAGAGCAGCTAAATAAAGATAAATTACCTGCTGCCTTATGAAAAGAGTTTGAGTTGATCAAATGTGCAAAAAACCATTGATAAATCGTTAAAAAGCTTAATGAACGGGAAATGTGAAAGCCTTTAAAGTGGGGTTAAAAGGTGAAGAATTAATATCCTACCTGCTGCAGAGGCTCATTTAAGTCCATTTTTTGTATTTCTACCGTATTTTTCGGACTATAAGGCGTACCGGATTATAAGGCGCATTAAGCAAAACAAAACTGTCAGATAAGTCAAACTTTATTCACAATAACCATAGAAAATCAGTTTGAGGTCAGTAAGCACAACCAGAATTAATAGATAAGGCGCACCGGATTATAAGGTTCACTGTTGCTTTTTGAGAAAATTAAAGGATTTTAAGTGCGCCTTATAGTCCGACAAATACGGTAATTCTTTTTTGTCAAACTGAAATCAAACAGTGAACTATCTACAATGGGTAAGATATTAATTGTTCATAACCTTTCGCATCCAACGTTCTGAACTGTCATTTTAACTCATGAAAAGATTAAGGGGGGAATAATTAAATACAATCAACGTTTTTGTTTTATTGTTTTTTATATATATTTAAGTTATTTACTTCCAAATAGGAAATATGTCTGTTTACTGAGCTCATAATTCTGTAAATAAAGGCTTAATGGGGAAAACGTTAATGTTCAAAAGACCTAATTTAAAAAAAAAACCTATTAAAGTTTAAGAACAAATGCTTGTGGATAATTATATAATAATAATATATATACATACAATAATAAATAACTCTTCACATCCTTGAAGGGTACAAAAAAAATGTTCTAACGCTTAAAAAAAAGTTCACTTTGAGATTTATTTATTTATATCTGGAGAAGCTCTCAACTAAAATTATTCTACTTCATAAATACATGAAAAGAAAAGATGTTATGGACAGTTGGAGCAGTTATCATCTTAGTAAATGTATATATTTTACATTTTATTTTTTACCAAACTTCATATGTGTTCAAAAAGCTAAATATTACCCTTATATACTACAATATTAACCTTATAAGAGTGATCCTGCTGGAATCCTCTGTACTCAAATAAAATCTATTTTTACATCCGAGCACAAGTTTACTAAAAACTGTACAACACTGCCCCCAGGGGCTGAGTGTATCACGGCCCTCCACCTCTGCCCTTTCTTCTACTGTAGCTGTGAGAGTGGGTGGATGAAGCAACCAGACAGCTTGACCCAATTAACAACAATCGCTGCCATCGCTGGCACTTTTCCACGAGTCGTCTTCTCACAAAGCCTGTGAGAATAAACATCGTCGGATTTCCTCGGCGTGCTAAATATAAGCGGCGTGGATACAGACTGATAAAGTCTGACTGAATCAGGATCAAGCTAAGCAATTCGACCAGATTTCTCCCTGTACGCCGCCACCACCTCGTGCCACAACCAGCCTACGCAAATATCCAAGAGCAAGACTGAAATGTGTTTGTCATGTGCCAGGAGGACTCGGATGTTTCAAAAACCGTCCTCTGAGCGACGTTTCTCTGCCCCGTGCTGATGCTGTCAGTGTTAGGAGAGGTGAGACAACGCCACGTTCTATGAGCTTAGAGCAGAGAGAAGACGAGAAGTTAACAAGCGAGCTCACGGAAATCAAGTTGTTACCATGAACTCTGGCTGCTAGATGGTTCTACAAGTTAGTTAAGAACTGCTAGATAGTGTTGCAACGTTACATTGGTTTAAGAATTGAGGGAACTTAACTGTATTTAGATTTATCCTGGTGCATGCTCAATAATCCACGTAGAAAACTCTAAAAAAAAAAAAAAAAAAAAAAGTTAAGTCTGGTCCTCTGGACAGGTTCAAATAACAAAAACAAAAAAAAAATGTAGAAAAGTTTCGTTTTTTTATCCAAAAGACTTCTTCAGTCTGAGGAGCTGCAATGAACAGCGCCTTTCAAAGTGGATCAACCAGTTTGCTGCTGACAGCCAAAACCAGCTGCTCATATGATCCAGGAGGACCATCAGGATCATTAGCACACTGATGGCTGTTCACTATTCACATGGGGCTGAGTGATACTAGCAATAACAGCATTGTAAGAGGGGGACAGTTGAACACGGAGGCTCCGCCCCTGTTTAATGGTGGACGGTTTCTTTTCACAAAGATGGCCTCCTTTACTCCTGGATCTTTGGAATGAACCAGTCTTCGCCATAATGTATTTTGGGGTTTAAAAGCCACTGGGACGTTGTGTTTATAAAATAAATATCTCAGTTTCTCTGAT